GAACGCTACTAATACGTAGTGCGAGAATGCCGCAGTCGCTGCGTTTCGCGCGCGCGTCGCAACATCGCTAGGAGCGAGCGCGGCGCGCTTCGCAGCAGGCGAGCCCTCCTTGGCACCAACTGGAACCGTGGCGCACGCCGCAAACGCTAAGACGTAGTGCCTAAGGCCTAAAACTTGTCGAAGACCCGGCCCCAGCCGGCGGCGTCTACTGGTCGGTCGTCGCCGGCCCCTGCGCCCGGCGCGGGGGAGCGGCTGAGGCGTTGTCGCCCTTGCCTTCGCCGCCTTTCGGTTTGCCTGTCCCGCCCCGCGCGTGGCGGAGGACGCCCGACATGTTGCCTGGGCCTTGCGGCCAGCCGTCTTCCAAGATTGCCGTCTGCAGGTGGTAGCCGACTACTAGCCGCGCCCTCGAGGGCAGGTAGGAGAGCGCGGGCGCTGTCGACTGCCTGGGCCGCCTCAGGTGGGTCGGCGTAGCCGGCGTGGATACCGGAGGTGCCTTCCAGGGAAGGGTTGTCGACCAGGAGCAAGCGGTGCGTGTCGCTGGGGTCTGCGCTGGCGGGGTGCAGCGGTGAGAAGGTCTTCTCCAAGTCGTCTCCTTCTGAGTTTGTGAGCTCGGCCAGTTTTTCGAGCCTGCTGCTCTCCCAGGCTTCGATGGGGCGCCAGGGGGGGCCTTCGACCAGGGGCCGCTCTGCTAGAGGGCTGATGAGGCCGCTGACCATGCAGCTATGGTAAAACGCCCAGCTCGGCCAGGCTAGGATCTGCGGGTGCACCCTGTAGCACGCTGTCAGCTGAATGACTGCGGAGTCCTGACCTCGCAGGGCGTGGGGCAACCGGTCAAAGATGCTGACGCAGAGCCCCAGGTCGGTGGCGAACTTGGAGATGACCGTCGGTGGCAGCTGCTTGGGGTCCCCCACCAGGACCAGGTGGCCTCCGCTGCGGACCAGGTTGACCAGGGACATGGTGGAGTGTAGCCCTGTGGTCTGCCTGGTTATATTGATGATCAGGAGCGCGAGCTGGTTGGGGCGCCCGCCTCGCGCCTCCGCTGCTTCGTGCGTGGAGATGATCAAATTTGCTTTGCTGATGAGGTCGGTGCGGAAATGCGCCAAGTCCGGCGCGGTGCCCTCCGGTGTGTTTGAGAAACTCCCTGTGGCCTTCTGGAAGTGTCCTTCTGGGGTTAGGTTGATCAGCTCAGCCGTGCGAACCGGGCAGGAAAGCAGGTGTCGGGGTCCAGCTGGTTCCCGCGGTGCGCGGCGACCGTAGCGAGGGCGGGTTGGTCGGCTGCCGTGTTCGACCCTGCGGCGAGCGCGACCGCCTGTCCGCTAATGAGAGTGCCTCCCCAAATGTCGAGCGTCGCAGTGGACAGCTTGGTTTTGCCTGTGCCTGGGGGGCCGTGGACAACGGTGACGTGGTGCGCCCGCGGTGGCCCGCAAAGCCCGCCTGGCGTCGTCGTTGAGACCGCGCCTGTCTGCTGGTGGGGATAGCGAAGCGCCGAGAGTTCAATCGAACGCCCTTGCGCGCGTGCTGTGTGGGGGGAGGGGGGGCGCGAAATCATCCCACCCGGGCCACTGGCGCTCGTTAGCCGCGCGCGTATGTTGAACTTCTTCAAAAACCTTCAACGCCAACGCGTAGGCATCGTCATCGCGATCGGCAGGCATGATCGACGTCGGCGCCGTCGTAAGCCTTGCCGTCGTCATTGCTACCGTCGTCACCGTCACCATCATCGCTACTCATATAAAACAAGTCTGCCGTTGTCGGCGTCGCCATGACACCGCGCCCGCCCACGCCACCGATTCGCACTGAAGCGCCCGCTAGGAAGTGCCCAACGGACAGCGTCACCACGGCCGCGTCGGTCGAGCCAAACTAACTGGCCGCTGCGCGCGCGAGCATGCGCGGGCTAGCGCGGCCGCAGAGATGCACCAGCCAACGCAAAGCACTCATCGCAGTTGCCGCCGCATGGGTTTGCAAGCCAACTTGCGGGTGGCTAGGTGGGACGTTTGCAAGAACATGGGGCTTGTCAACAAGCTGAAAACATAATTCTCCATGTTAAAAAATAATAGACTCTACCCCTCCCAGACTTATCAGCTCCCCCTGGGATAGTATGATTTCATATATCTATATATTCTGCACACTCGTCCATCCTAAATATGAAATCAGATCATCCCAGCCAAACCTTGTTCCCCCCCTGAGGTTCCCTGGTAAAAAATATTTTGCGGTGACATTTTTTGTTCTAGCATCGCACTTTTTCGCGAATTCCTTTGCAACAAATGAAACGAAGTGCGCACGCGCGCGTCGTCGCGCGCGCATTCCGGAATCCTTCAAACACCTTCGGTGCGGGAAGGATTTCGCAATCGAGCTTCCAAAAAACATACACAACACAGAATTGCTAAAACAGCTTCCGCGAAAGCTCTTGCGAAATCTTGAGAAAACCATAGGTTTTCAACATTTTCACAAAATGCTACCAAACAGGCTTCGCGCGCGCTCATGTCGAAATCTGTCGAACGCCCTTGCGCGTGTGCCGTCGCGAGAATCCCCTGCAACAAATAGGACGAAGTGCAGACGCGCGCGTCGTCGCGCGCGTATGCCGAAAACCTTCAAAACCCATCGGTTTCGGAAGGATTTCAAAATCGCTTGCCCAAAAAACCTACAAAAACACAAGGTTTCGCAACACGGATTTTCAACAAGAGCGTGCGCGCGCGCTCTTGCGTCGTCGTCGTCGTCGTCGTCGCCGTCCTCCCTCCTCCCGCGTCGTTGTCGTCGTCGTCGTCGCCCGCGTCGTCCTCTGCCTTTCCTCGTCTTCGTCGTCGTCGTCCTCTTTGGCGTCGTGGTCGTTTCCGTCGTCGTTGTCGCCGTGGTCGTCCTTCCTCCTCCTCCCTCGTCGTCGTCGTCGTCCGTCGTCGGCGTCTCGTCGTCGTCCCTCCTATTTCGTCGCCGTCGTCGTCGTCGTCGTTGTCGTCGTCGTCTTCCCTCCTCCCTCGTCGTTGTCGTCGTCGGCGTCGCCGTCCTTCCTCCTTCTTCGTCGTTCGCGTCGTCGCCGTCCTCCCTCCTCCCTCGTCGTTGTCGTCGTTGTCGTCGTTGTCGCCGTCGTCGTCCTCCCTCCTCCCTCGTTGTCTTCGTTGGCGACGTCGTCGTCGTCTTCGTCGTCGTCGTCGGCGTCGGCGTCGTTGTCGTCTTCGTCGTCGTCGACGTCGGCGTCGTCGTCGTCGCCGCCGTCGTCGTCGTCGTCGTCGTCGTCGTCGGCGTCGTTGACGTCGTCGTCGTCGTTGTCGGTGTCGTCGTTATCGTCGTCGTCGGCGTCGTCATCGTCGTCGTTGTTGTCATCGTCGTCGTCGTCGGCGTCGACGTCGGCGTCGTCGTCGTCGCCGCCGTCGTCGTCGAGGTCGTCGTCGTCGTCGTCGTCGTCGTCGGCGTCGCTGACGTCGTCGTCGTCGTCGGTGTCGTCGTTATCGTCGTCGTCGGCGTCGTCATAGTCGTCGTCGTCGTTGTCATCGTCGTCGTCGTCGGCGTCGGTGTCGTCGTCGTCGTCGTCGGTGTCGTCGTCGTCGTCGTTGCCGGCGTCGTCGAAGTCGTTGGAGACGTCGTCGGTGTCGTCGTCGTCGGCGTCGGCGGCGTCGTCATCGTCGTTGTCGCCGTCGTCGTCGGCGTCGCTGTTGTTGCCAAGTGCCATGTGGTACCCACCGTCACGGTCTTAAGAGATTTTGCAAAGCAAGTTGCGGGTGGGTGGGTGGGATGTTTGCGCGAGCAGTGGAGTGGACAACTCACTGCGAACAGAAATTAACTTGCACCACATAGATTGCACCACGTAGCTTGTTCCACATAGAGAGCACCACATTGATTGCTCGAAAAACCATGCTTGGGGCCAGCGCTGGCGAATCAACATCGAATTGCCTGGCGCGTCCAAGCCACCGTCGGATAAATCACAAAAGGCTTAAATGGGTCGGTGTGTAGCGTAAGCCTTGAAACCGATGGCTTCGGCCCTGTGGGCGTTTTGAAACAAACAAACCAAGGAGGCTCCCAAACCGGTCTGGGAGTGTCCCAGGGCGGCCCAAGAGGCCCCTGGACGCTCAGAAAGGACCCCAGGAGGATCCACAAGAGGGCAGGCATAGGCAACCATCACTCATCCCCCCTGGGGTATTCAATGAGTTCCCCTGTCTCGCTGTCTGAAGCGTTGCAAAGCTCAAGAGGGCATAAAAAGGTCCCCAACGTCGGTTCAATACGGCCCAAGCGAGCCCAAAAGGCCCCCAAGATCGTCCAGGACGACCTGAGACGCCCGCAGGAGGGGCACCAAAGGGGCCCGAGAGATCGACATCGAACTGGCTTTGGGCGCCTTTCACCCAGAAGCCCCCCAGAAAACGATTCCAAGAAGCCTCAATAGGATCTCAAAGGCCTCTAAGAATCCAAAAGTCACCAATGGCCCCCAATATGCTGCCAAGACGGCAGAACGGCGGTAGACCCACACGGCAGAAGAGCGGGGTAAACCAGCCAACACCCAGAGCTTACGTGCTCTGGACGCAAACCCCGCAAAGCGAGAGGCATTGCAGGAGAGAGAGAGAGAGAGAGAGAGAGCGAGAGAGAGAGAGAGAGCACACAACGAAACAGGAGAGAGGAAGATAGAGAGAGAGAGAGATAACCACAACAGCAATAACACATCCAGACAAAAACATTTGAACACACGCACACACACAGACAGGCAGAGGCCGAGGCAGAGAAAGAGAAAGAGAGAGAAAGAGAGAGGGAGAGCGTGAGGGCGTGCCCGCAAGACGGATCCCATAATTGCATGCTGGGTGTAGCCGCTAGCAGGCGCGGGTCGCGTGCGGGTAGGGCCCACACCTTCTGCACTGCTCGACCAGCGGGCGCTGCGCGCGCCAGGCAACAACGCCAGCGGCCAGCTGGCGCGCCTGCGCGAGTGGACCTGCTAGCTCCTGTGCGTGGTGGTGGGCAGCATCTGGTGCTCCGCGGCCTCGCGCTGCAACTGCATGGTGGCCATAATGTAACACTTGTTTGCCTTAGCTGGCCACGTGTCTGCACAGCGCGGCCGCCGACAAACACTCCAAAGGCACTGCCAGATCAGGCAGCTCAGGCCCGTGCGGCCGGGAGCTGGGGCTGGCCCCAGCCAGCGGGCGCTCCACCTGACCCACGCAGCGCGAGCCGTCGAAACCGCCCAGGACGAACAGATCCCCCGCCACCGCCGCAGCAGCGCACCACTTCCTGGCAATCTGCAGCCTCGCTGGCAGCACCTCCCAAGCGCCTGCTACTGGGTCGAAGCGCTCCACCGTGCCCAGCGGCTCCCAGCCGCTGCTGCCGCCGCACACTAGCACCGCTCCCCGCACTGCAGCCGAAGCACATGCGAAGCGCGCAGTGGGCATGGACGGTAGATCCACCCACCGCTCGCCCAAGCCCCCTGCGTCAACATCCAGGCGCTCCGCCGCGCGCAAGCATTGACCTCTCAAATAGCCTGCGCACGCGTACAGCGCCCCCCCAGTGGACGCAAGCGCGCCAGCGAAGCGTGCATGCAGCATCGACGGCGAGGTACTCCAGAAGCCGTCCTGCGTCAAGGGACCTGGGGAGAAACGCTCCGCGGTCGGCAACTCCTCTCCGCAGACGCCTGCGCCGCCAATCACGAAGATGTGCCCGTCCACCACCGCTGCCGCGCAGAAAGATCTGCGGGACGGCATTGGCGGCGGGGGGATGTCTGCCCAGCAACCTGCGCCGCAATCGAAGCACTCGACGCAGTCCAAGTCCTCCCCGCTGGAGTGGCCCCCGATGGCGTACACGCGCCCGTGAGCGGCCGCGGCCGCGCATCCACAGCGAGCCGTTGGCATCGGCTGCAGCATCATCACCACCCCTGTCGCAGGCCAGAGTACCTGGGCCGCGCTGCTCACTTCGCCGTTGGAGCGTCCGCCGAAAACGTACAGCTCCGCCCGCCCCTGATCCCTCTCCAGCGCCGTCAACGGCACGCGCAGGGCGCCGCAACTTGTGCTGCTGGCCGCGGCCGCCCGGCCGGCGGCGCGGGGGCCAGCGATGCGCGCGAGGTGGGCCGCGAGCTGCTCGTGCCGCGGTCGGTTGGCTGGTGGGCGGCCAAGAACCAGCTAGACAGACCCTCCAGAGCCAAGAGACAACAGAACCGATCGATCCTGGGCCATCTGAAAATTCCGTGTCGCCTCCGCACGGATGTGGAAACGACAGCTGTTCACTACCAACACCATCGCTGGCTAGGGCCGTCCTGGGCCCTGGATTCGCACACTGACTCCTGAACTCCGCCAGACCGGCCAATACCACGGACGGCTCTGACCAGGGACGGTAGCGGCGTACGGCTGCCCTCGCCGCTTCTGGGCCCCCGCTGGCTGCCAGCACGGCCCACCGACCACGGCGCTCGTGCCCGAGGAGCTCGCGGAGCGGCCGCCGCGTCGCTCCAGCGGCGTGCCCCCGCCTCGCCGGCAGCGGCGGCGCGTCGCTGCTGCTGGCGCCGCGCTGGCGGAGCCGCAGCCGGCGCAGCACGGGCCCCAGCAGCAGCGCCGCCAGCGCGGCGCCGGCGGCGCCCAGCGCCACGGCGCCCCAACGCCCCGCGCGTCCCAGCGCCGCGACGGGCGCGCCGCACGGAGGGCGCTCCGCGGTCGGCGGGCTGGGCATCGCGCGGCGCGGCGCCCCCTCCTCCTCCTCCTCCTGTTCTCCGCCTCCTCCTCCTCCTCCTCCTCGTCCTCCTCCTCCTCTCCCTCCTCTCCTCCTCCTCCTCCTCCTCCTCCTCTTCCTTCCCCTCCTCCTCCTCCTCCTCCTCCTCGCTGACTCGGTGATCGGGATAGTGTCGAGCGATCGCCCCGATGCCCTCGATGCCCTCCCCCGGCCGGTGCTGGGAGAGTTGCTGGAAAGACGGATGGTCGCGGTCAGAGGAGCTACTCCCCCTGCTCCTCCTTCTCCTCCTCCACTTTCTGTTGCCCTGACTTGGGCAAGGATGGCCGCAGCGTCTCAGCGTATTATGCGGAGCAAAAAGAAGCCTCAGAACGTGCGCGATCATCAGAACGATGCGAACAAGGACAGTACGGTGAACCTGCGGCGTGGAGAGAGATACAGAAAAAGAGAGAGAGAGAGAGGGAGAGCGCAATGGGGAAGACAGCAAACCAAGGAGAATGACAGACTGTAAACCACAGTGGCCAGCTAAATAGTTTCTAATACACACGCAAGTGCAGGACCACCATCATATACCTCCTCCAGATCGTGCTCTGCCGCCTGGTCACTCCCACCACTCTTTGTGTAGCATGTGTGCGACTAAGCCCAGTGCAGGGCCGATAACAAAATGCCCTCAGAGGTGTTCGAATCCGCCACCGTGCCGCTGGGCACGCAGTGGAGTGTTCTCAAGTCCTCTAGAGGTCTCAACGCTGGTAATTGGATATCATTTGGAGGGCCTGGAGGCCCAATTTCCCGATTCGCTTGGGTTCCCCGCATGCCTTCTGGGGCTTGTCGCATGTTTTCGCTTGACTTTCCCATCGGCCACAGAGCGCCGAGACGGGCCAAGAGGGTCCCAAGAGGCTTCCAAGATGGTCTATGAGGATCCCGAAACGGCCCAAAAGCGTTCCAAGACGCCCCCAACTGACTCAAGACGGCCCAAGAAGAGGCTTCCGAGGCACCCCGAGAGGGCTTCAAGAGGAGCTCCAAGAGGGCCTCGCCCTTGGAAGGTGGATTAACCAATCACACAGCCTCCACCCGCGGAAGAGTACCCGGGACTACTCCTGGGAACGCAGGGGCAACCAATCCCAAGCTCAAAGAGACCGTGCCTGTGAGAGCGCCGCCAGTCCGCCAGTCCTCTTTTGCAGATGGACTTTCTCCATGAGGGAGACGCCCGACCTGCGAGGCGAAGTACGACCTGCCGAACGCCAGAAGCGGTGGGGGGCCTTGAGACCATCAGCGGAGGTACAGGACCAAGGGCAGGCTCTTGGCGTGCGCACGAAAAGGCGGCGGCGTCCCGACCGCCAGATGCAAGTGGGGTGGGGACAGGCGGTGATGTAGATGGGGGTTCCCAGTGAGGTCCGTCGTCGCGCGAACGATCGCGGGACCCAAAGCCACGGCTGCCAGACTGCGGCGACTGCGGCGAGCATCATTACCCAACCGCTCCAGACGCGGTACCAAGATGCAGAAGCAAACAGCCAGAGTTTACTAGTCGCGGCGCGGAGCCCGTGGGAGGGACGAGGCAAGGAAATCTCGACAATACCAAGCGGCACTTCAAACCGCCTCCTTCCTGTCGTCTTCACTGTGCCAATACTGATTGATCATCTGAGACCCGTTCTTATAGGCCACAGGGACACCAAGGCTGTATCAGAGTGAGGGGGCCGAACGGTCATTCACTGTCCCTGGGTGTGGCTGAACTGGGACTCAGCGATGCGGATTAATGTTGTTGTATGTTTGTTTGTTTGTTCGTTTGGTTGTCGTTGTTGTTGTCGTTGAACTCCCACTACTTAAGAATAATTATTGTTAGGCCTACCTCCGGTGACCTTTGAATTTCTTCCCAACCATCCTGTGGTGTTGGGTCCTCGTTTTGAAGAGACAGCGCCCCGCATTCCTCATCCTCCTCTGCCCCCTCCTCCTCCCCCTCCTCCCTCCTCCCTCCTCCCACCATCATCATCGTCATCATTCTCCATTTCGGCACACCCCTCACACGTTTCGTGGCCCCATAGGGAGCCCCACCGAAGGCCCCAGTGCTGCCGCCCGCATGCGTCCCGCACACCAAATTCGGCACACCCCTCGCACGTTTCGTGGCCCCATACGGAACCCCACCGAAGGCCCCAGTGCTGCCGCCCGCATGCGTCCCGCACACCCAATTCGGCACACCCCTCACACGGCCACGGCCACGGCCACGGCCACGGCCACGGCCACGGCCACGGCCACGGCCACGGCCACGGCCACGGCCACGGCAAGGCACCTCGCAAGTGCCTTTCCAGGGCTGGCACCTCCCAAGTGCTTTTCCTGGGCTGCACGCAGGCACTGCACAAGTGCCTTCCCCAGGCGCTCGCAAGCACCTGCAAAGTGCCTTTCCTGGGGTTCCCGCCGGCACCTCCCAAATGCCTTTTCCTGTGTTCCTGGGGCGCTTTGCAGAGCCTAGGAGCGTGGGGTTTCGTGGCCCCAAAGGGAGCCCCACCGAAGGCCCCAGTGCTGCCGCCCGCATGCGTCCCGCACACCCAATTCGGCACACCCCTCACACGCTTCGTGGCCCCATAGGGAGCCCCACCGAAGGCCCCAGTGCTGCCGCCCGCATGCGCCCCGCACACCCAATTCGGCACACCCCTCACACGTTTCGTGGCCCCATAGGGAGCTCCACCGAAGGCCCCAGTGCTGCCGCCCGCATGCGTCCGCACACCCAATTCGGCACACCCCTCACACGTTTCGTGGCCCCATAGGGAGCCCACCGAAGGCCCCAGTGCTGCCGCCCGCATGCGTCCCGCACACCCAAGTCGGCACACCCCTCACACGTTTCGTGGCCCCATAGGGAGCCCCACAGAAGGCCCCAGTGCTGCCGCCCGCATGCGTCCCGCACACCCAATTCGGCACACCCCTCACACGTTTCGTGGCCCCATGGGAAGCTCCACCGAAGGCCCCAGTGCTGCCGCCCGCATGCGTCCACGCACACCCAATTCGGCACACCCCTCACACGTTTCGTGGCCCCATAGGGAGCTCCACCGAAGGCCCCAGTGGCGGCGCTCACATGCGCATGCGTCCCGCACACCCATTTCGGCACGTCCCTGACAGGTTTCGTGGCCCCATCATCCACCGGAGGCCCCAGTGGCGGCGCTCACATGCGTCACCCACACCCACCCAATTCGGCACACCCCTCACACGTTTCGTGGCCCCATAGGGAGCTCCACCGAAGGCCCCAGCGGCCGCGCTCACATGCGTCCCCGCCACCCATCCCGGCACGCCCCTCACAACAACAGGTTTCGTGGCCCCATAGGGAGCTCCACCGAAGGCCCAATGGCACCGCCCGCATGCGTCACCACCCGCACCCAATTCGGCACACCCCTCACACGTTTCGTGGCCCCATAGGGAGCTGCACCGAAAGCCCCAGTGGCGGCGCTCACATGCGGCCCCGCCACACATCCCAGTACACCCCTCACGCGCTTCGTGGCCCCATAGGGAGCTCCACCGAAGGCCCCAATAACGGCGTTTACATGCGTCTCCGCCGCCCATCCCGGCCCCCCCCCGCAGCAGCATCATGTTTCGGGGACCCAAAGGGAGCCCCACTGGAGGCCCCAGTGGCGGCCCTCACATGCGTTTCCGCCACCCATGTCGGCACGCCCCGCGCGTGTTTCATGTCTCCATAGGGAGCTTCGCCGAATGCCCCAGTGGCACCCATCTCGGCACACCCCTCACACGTTCCGTAGTCCTATGGGGAGTTCCACTGAAGATGAAACCCGCAGCTGCGGTACTGACAACTGCATATGGTTGGGTTCTTCGCCAGGCTAATTCAACTGAAGCGCTTCCCCCCGGGGCTCGCACCCTGTTCTTTTATCTGGGAAAATCACTAGGCTCAAACTGGGCCCGTGGCCGCCATTTTACAACAACAACGGCTCCCGCCTGATACATCGTCACAACAGATTCCCAAATCGCGCTCTCGCGCGTGATTTCGTCATAATGTGTATACGAATCGCGCTCTCGCGTCGGAATTCCTCGCAATGTATTCAGACGATGTGCCCTCGGCACTCCGGAATCACGCTTTCGCTTGGGCTTTTCTCACGATTTACTTGGGAATCGCGCTGTCGCTCGAGACTTCCTTGCGATTCATGCAAGATCCACGCTTCAGCACCCCGCCTGCTCGACCTGGTCGCTTGAGCCCGCCTTCCCGACCTGCCCGCTATGGGTCTGCCCACCCGATCTGCCTGTCTGGTTCTACCACTTGTTTTTTGTTCCTTGCCCCCCTCCTATTCATGTCTCTCATGTTACATTCTTCCCCCTCCCCCTTTCACCCGTCTTCTGTTCCCTTGTTGTAACGGCTGCAGTAAATGCACGTGGCAGGTAAGGAAGAGATGCCCCCAAGGGGGTACGATCGAAGACGACGAGGGAGGGTATAAAGGGTTAGGGAAATACGCGTTGGTTGGCACGTGGGCAAGTAGGAGCGAATAGTCTTGACATTGCTGTTGTTGTTGTTGTTGCTGTTGCTGTTGTCGTTGCTGTTGTTGTTGTTGTTGTTGTTGTTGTTGTTGTTGTTGTCGTTGTCGTTGTCGTTGTCGTTGTCGTTGTCGTTGCCGTTGTCGTTGCCGTTGTCGTTGTCGTTGTTGTTGTTCCCCATATCCTAAGATGGGATTCTTGTTATTACTTGGACGCCTCCTACTCCTCCTCCTTCTTCCTCCTCCTCTTTTCTCCTCCCCTCCTGTCGGACATATTCAGACTTGCTAATACACAGACTTACTCATACTCAGACATACTCATACTCAGACCTACTCATACTCAGACTTACTCACACTCAGACATACTCATATACAGACTTACTCATACACAGACTTACTCATACACAGTATTAGTCATACCCAGACGTACACGTACACAGACTTACTCATACACAGACTTACTCATACTCAGCACCCCTAACGGGAGCCGCCAGGGGTGGTTGCACGGGCTCGTTCGCGGCCATTTTGTGGGGATGTCTC